GCTATAAACATGATCAGCAACAGCTGCTTTAAAAACATTTACAAATAGGCTACTCTTTTTTTCTCTCTTGCAAGTTTTCACATATTTGTACAATCAAACTGACTTTCAGTTTTTCTGGTCCATATTTAAATGTTTTTTTTATTGATTTTTTTGAAGGGGAAGGGGGGGTCTGGATTATTAAGTTTACAGACTAACCATAAAACTCCTTAAGTTTTTATTCACATCAAAGACAAATTTCTATAACAAAGACGCAATTGAGTATAAACACTTTGCTATTTAATACCTTTCTAATTAACGTGCGATACAGACCAACACCACCGGCAGATTAAACATCCCTGTCTGATCACAACAAACTGAGAAATCTAGAGGTTCCTACGCTTGATCTACTTTGGGGCAAAACGTCACCCGCAGCTTGTGAGATCTCTGCAAAACGCACCACATCCTTCATATTCAGAGCACTCCTCTGCAGACGCATCACAGAACGCAGCTTGTTAGCAACTTTTACTCCCCTGGTGTAGATGAAAAAAAATAAACCAAATACATTCAAACAGAAAGTGCCACCTTATGATTGCAATGAGGTTTGTATAAATTGTGGGTGTTAATAATCAGAATCCGTACAACTAGATCAAATAATAATAAAAAAGGTAAACAAATCCATGTTGTTTTGGCAGGGCTTCCTAATTATAACTACTAGTTAACTATTACCCCTCAGATCAGGAATAACATCTCTGATTGCTCCAGCAGTGGGCTCTCTAACAGGACAGGGATTTAGCTGTATTATATGAGTGGGTGTGGAGTGGAGCTGGGACCAACTATGGACAGACAGCAGTGGTATCATTGACCAGAGATGTTATGCACACATCACCTGGCGCCAATCCAGTTAAAGGAAAACTGCGAATGTAAACAATGTCCATCCAGTCATCTCAAACCTCAGCTTGGAAACCTAACAAGTCATTGATGGATGCTGCAAAAGTAAAAACGCTTCACCTTAACCGACCCAGGCTTCTATAAACAAGAGCTGCAGAGAGGAAAAAGCTGATATTTACTTAATGAGTTATTTATTTGTTCCTATCCAAAAGAAGCAAATAAGTCAAGGAAGTTTTTCCACCAGGTTTCACTAAACAGTGCAATAAGCGTTATCCGCCTCACTCATTTTTTGCTTTTCTTGTTTCAAATCCTGATTACTGTTAGAATCTATTAAGTACAGTGAAGTACCAAAACCAGGTAAGAGTGCATACCTGAAGTAATCATCCAAGCAAACGGTCTTAATTAAAATGGGGATATACTTACTGCGACAGGTTTTTCTTCACAAAAACAACAGAGAAAAAGTTCGCCCTTCATTTTCTAAGGACTCTGCTCTGATAAGGGGGTGGGAAAGCTTTGTTAAGTTTGCACTTTTGGAAATGGGAACTATAGTGTTTGACTTCAAACACTTGGGATGCTTTGCAAACATTTTTTTGAGGGGAAACTTATGGGGATGATTTGGCACGATACATTTGGTGCACGACTGTGGATAAAAGGGACATGTTAGGCAAAAACACATCGCTGAAGTTGGCCTCTGATTAGGGTACTGATTTAACAAAGTCAACCCTCTGCTGTTAGTAGAACTAAAAAACTTTTGGTCATTTTAAAGTCACAATTGTAATAATTTAGACAACTTTTCATTCTACACTGATAAATAATTTAAGTCCACAGTTTGACAAAAAAAGAGGGCATTTGGTATTTTTCAGTATTTGACCACCTCAATCACGTTTTGGAGTATAAGTTTTCACATGAAAGATTATATTATAGAGTAGATTTATCCCGTGTTAATATTTCACAGTTTTAATTAGAGCAGATCAATCCCCTAAGACAACCAAAGAGCCCTTTGTACAAAGTCTAACTAAGAAGCCAACTTCGGAATCTTCACAAATGCCCAGAATGAATCTATTCATATCCAATGAAAGGGTGTAAAATATTTAGACCTTAAAAGGTTTAATAGCGCGAAAAATTTGATGGTTTAAATGGCCTAAATATCTTTCCTAACATTCCTAAGCGAGGATACATAGCTGGAAAAGAAGTGCGTAGTTTTTTTTATAGCGGCAGTTGGTTCCAAACCGCCGGAAAGTGTCATTTAATCCGATCTAATGTGTTATTTTAGGGCTCCCGTTGATCGAAAAAGGTCGAAATGTGAGGAAGTTTTTTTTTTTTTTTTTATAACGAAACGAGTAAATAACGCAGCGGAATTAAATGTGGACGATTTGCTAATTCTATTAGGATTAGCGGCTAACTTAGCATTTAGCAAGTATATGCTAAGCTAATGTTAGCTTAAAAACAACTTGCCAATTAGCGAACCCAACGGTCGGATTTGGATTTATTTTTGTCTGCGACGTCGAGTTTAACTCCGCAACAATTAAAAAAAATCCGACTTTATATTTTTAATCTTTTAAGCGAGATTATTATCCGAACTTGGCGATTAAGACTGTACCATGGGACGAAAGGAAAACTAATTTATCAGGTTTCGCGATCTTGTCTTTTTCCCATTTGACAAGTTCGCTTAAATCGGCTGATTATAACACTGTAGTAAAATAAAGGGAATAACGTTGGTCCAGTTTTTAGGCCTCCCAGAAAGCGACGTCGTGTCAACATGGCCGCTCGCTTTACCTCTGTACTCGTTTTCCAGAAAAGACGAGTTTAATCCCTTTGACAGAAAAAAAACAACAAAAAAGAACCCCTGGGCTTTTGTGTAAAAGCACAGGACAAATAAATGAATTCATTTAAATATGACTGTAGAATTACTCGACCTTTCGTCAGTCAGAAGACTGTTGTGTTCGTGGTTGGTAGTTGGGGAGTTTGGATGGACAGTCATGCTTTCCACAGCCATTTCCTCTAGCTACATTGAGGAGCAAAAAAATTACAACTCGACGCTGAACTACTGGCTTATGCGTCACTTCACAAGGATCTACTTGTTTTTGTTTTAGGAAGAGATTCAGTTCATAGTAGGCAATTCTCCACTACAGTTGTAAGAGAAATATGCTGAAATTGAATCCTGACGTTCTCCGTCCTACTGTAGCGATGTGAAATGACGACTGATACACTTAAAATGGCCGACCGTCTTCTCCAAAGAGAAAGGGGTGGGGTTTCCGAGAACAACGTAGGCAGTTTCACGGATGTTACCGAAAGACGTGTACAGCTAACCCCGAGTTTGACTCGCAGGCACTCATTGTTTTTGTTTTTTTTTTTTTTTAAGATATGTGATTGAATTAAATATAAAAAAAAAATTTTCACCCTAACACAAAGCTTGGACCGAATGCGTTTCTGTTTTTTTTTCTTTTGCTTGCTCAATTGCTTAATCAACCCACACACGAAAGCCTCAGAATCAACATAGAGAAAATTCTTACAAAGACAACTACTTGGAAAATATTTACTTTCTTTGTTTTTTTTTTTTTTTTCAAATCGTAATATATTAAAAAATATAAATGATGTGCTCTTACTTTGAATTTTATATATTTTTGTCTCTTTTCTGAGAACAGTATTTAGGAGAAGGAAAGGAAATAAACTAGTTTAATATGAGATGTTTAAATGGCTTATTTTCAAATACATCACGGTTCTTATGTGTATTTAGCTACAGCTCGCTGCTTCTGCAGTGAAACAGAGCAAATTGTTTTAAATAAAAACAGCTTTTCTGATTTTGGTTAGATTTGTATTATGTTCAAGTTTTTCAATTTATACTGTGTGATGTATGTTTTTATCAATAAACAACTTTTGTTATTTAATGAATGATTGACAAGGCCATTAGAAAACAACAGAGGTCGGTTTAGGATTATGGATGCACAATATTAGCCTTAAAACTCAGTATCTGACAGCAGCCATCCCAACAATATGACTTGATATAAAACACGCCGTTTATTGATACAAGGAAAGAAGAAAGTCGCATGCACCAAATTTATGCCTGAGTCTGCCACTCGAGTGTAGCTGAAGCAAAAATGTTTATTTGATGTTTAGTTTCAGAAAAAGGATAGCCTATCTGCTATTTTCGATGACTAGATGCATGTGGCTGAAAGTTGAGTTGCCAGGTGAGTATTAAAATATAGGCATGTCAGAAATTCATCAAAGCTGCAATATGAACACTCTTAATTTAGATATAATTTGCCCTGGTATGAACTAATGACGATTCCCACATTTCGGAGATCTGTAACATTTACACAAAAAAGCTGGAATGTTGCTTTATTATAAATATATAAATTTTATAAAAGTGAATTTTTAAGTATAGTGCATGCAGTTACTTGTGTAAACAATTAAAAATATGTTTTCCATTTTATCCTCTTTTTAATGACAATATTTTCCATAATTTTACTTCAGACAGCACCTAGGTGCTTAGTTTCTGTAAAGAAAATCATTGCAAACAGGAAGTTAAAGCTATATTAAACATATTTGTCATCAAAGTTATATAAAATCAACGATACACAAAAAATATTACACATTTTGCTCTATTTTGTCACTGACTTTATATGACATTAGAACAAAGACACAAGCCTGTTATTTGAGTCTTTCAGTCCTGTTACTAATCTTACTGAGACTCACGTCAGTTTCCTGAAAGACAAGACCGAGGAAAAAGATATCCCTATCAGTCCCGAAAAAGAATCAGTATCGAAGAATCCTAAAAGGCGATCTGGCTTTACCCACGAACAGTGGTAAATCATTACACTGATAATCTGTATTTTAATTAACAGTATCAATTAAATATTAAAGCAGATCACCGATTTATTCACAAAACAGCCATCATCACGAAAATCAAACCTTAAGCTTATAATAACTTCAAAGAAGTTATTTAAATCCACTGATTATAAATTAAGGTTTTTAAAAACGTTCCCATCAAGGAAGAAAATGGAAATAAATGAAGTATAAATATAAAATACTATTGTTTAAGTTTGGAGGGTGGCGCTGATGCTCTTTCAGGTTATTTACCAAACATGGGGGGAAAAAAGAAGAAGAGTGCTATTGTTTCTTTCTGCCGACGTCACAATTCAGCGTCCATTCAGCGGGACTACCGCAGCCTTTTGAACCGTTTGGCCGTGTTGCTACAGAAAGGAGAACACATTGCAACTTTATCAAAGCTTTTTTAGGCACCCCGAATTGCTGATATGATCGAAAAAGAGGACCCGATTATCAGTGAGGAGGAAGCGGCGCAGTATGACCGCCAGATCCGGTTGTGGGGGCTGGATGCCCAGAAAAGGTGAGCTAGCTCAGTTAGCTTCTTTGGCTAATCAAAGCAGCGGATGGTTTAGCTAGTTCTCTTCTTTCTGCTCCGGATCCAGACTAATGAGACTAATACCAGCATCGGTAGGGTTTAAATTCTAATCGAGTTGCGTTATTGATTAGATTTCAATCGATAGATTCAAAATACGTTTGATTTTATTTGATCTTTACAAGAAACAGCTGGAAAACTAGTCAGGTTGCACTTAATACAGCTTGCCTATGATGGAGCATTTTAATGAGTTGACTGAATCGCACTTCAATATTTGAATGTATAACTGGATTTATATCCATTTTTATTTCCATATCATTTCTTTGATTTCACTCTTCTTCGTTGTTATGTTCACCTTTATAAAGTGGGTTTTTTAAGTTATTACATTGGGTGTCAAATATAGAGAAATGGGTTATTGCACAGGGTATTAAATAGTAATTGCACATTATAAATTGCACGATTTATTGCCATTGTAGTGTTTCATTGTATAGCCTGGTTGCAGCAGGGATGAATAACCTTCGCTAGCGCTCCTTTTTGCAAACAGGGTGTAAAAGTCTTTTACTAAAGGAGCTGCTCGGCTCCTCCACAGTCCGGTGCAGAGGGTGGACGGTGTTTTCCATGATGGATGGAAGCTTGGACAGCACCCTCCTCTCAGGCACTTCCTCCACTGAGTCCAGTTTGCAGCCTAGGACAGAAGCAACCTTTCTCACCAGTTTGTTCAGTCTCTTTCTGTCCCACTCTGCGCTCCTAGGGGATCAGCAGACGACAACATAGAGAAGGGCTAATGCCACCACAGAGTCATAGGTTTTCAGCCGGGTCCTGCTCTCTCCAAAGGACCTCAGCCTCCTCAGGAGATGGAGGAGCCTCTGGCCCTTCTTATACAGGCCGTCAGTGTTATGAGTCCAGTCCAGTTTATTACTGATATGAACACCCAGGGATGGTTCTCTTAATTTATTTTCCAATTCTTTCTTAGTTAACATGTTTTAAGTTAACTTTTTTACATTTTCTAATGATTTTATGTAGTAAGATATTTTAAAATCTCGTTGTATTTTATCATCTCCATGTGGGTGACATTAGATAAACAGTGATTTCCTCTAGAGTTGTAGTGAAGAATAAAAAAAAAAAAAAAACAGAACCCAAAGATGATATGTTTGGTTTGTTGTCATAAAATACAGTGACTGTATATTTAAACTCTCTCCTAAAGCATTTAATGTATTGTATGTGTATTTTTCAATGTAAAAGGCTGCGAGGATCCCGGGTGCTACTGGCAGGTGTCGGAGGTCTTGGAGCTGAACTGGCTAAAAATCTGATCCTTGCTGGAGTGAAAGGACTCACTTTGCTGGATCATGAGCAGGTAAGTCAATTGTCCTCATGCAAACCCAGAGGTTAGATTTCAGTCATTGTTCATAACCTGCAGTATCATTTCTGTACACTAGATGGCCATAGTAGCAAAGTCATCATTAGCCAAAGTTTGTACTCACTACAAGAAACAGTTTACATCCAGATTCACAAAACTCCACTAAAACGTTTTAGTCTGAATTGACCTATAAAGGTGGTAGACACATGAGAGAAATATGCTAATATAATTTCTGCATGGTTTTGTACCTTCCAGGTCTCAGAGGAGTCATGTCGAGCCCAATTCCTGGTTCCAGTGTCAGCTAAAGGTCAGAATCGGGCTCAGGCCTCTCTGGAGCGAGCGCAGAACCTCAACCCCATGGTGGAAGTTCACGCTGACCCAGACAGAGTTGAAGACAAACCAGACGACTTCTTTCTACAGTTTGATGCGGTGAGTGAGAATCAAGGCTAGTGGGTCTTGACCTGTTTATTCCGAGTCTTGATCTTGTTTGATCAGAGCTCGATAAATTACACTCACCGGCCACATTATTAGGTACCCCATGCTAGTAACGGGTTGGACCCCCTTTTGCCTTCAGAACTGCCTCAATTCTTCGTGGCATAGATTCAACAAGGTGCTGGAAGCATTCCTCAGGGAGTTTGGTCCATATTGACATGATGGCATCACACAGTTGCCGCAGATTTGTCGGCTGCACATCCATGATGCGAATCTCCCGTTCCACCACATCCCAAAGATGCTCTATTGGATTGAGATCTGGTGACTGTGGAGGCCATTTGAGTACAGTGAACTCATTGTCATGTTCAAGAAACCAGTCTGAGATGATTCCAGCTTAATGACATGGCGCATTATCCTGCTGAAAGTAGCCATCAGACGTTGGGTACATTGTGGTCATAAAGGGATGGACATGGTCAGCAACAATACTCAGGTAGGCTGTGGCGTTGCAACGATGCTCAATTGGTACCAAGGGGCCCAAAGAGTGCCAAGAAAATATTCCCCACACCATGACACCACCACCACCAGCCTGAACCGTTGATACAAGGCAGGATGGATCCATGCTTTCATGTTGTAGACGCCAAATTCTGACCCTACCATCCGAATGTTGCATTAGAAATCGAGACTCATCAGACCAGGCAACGTTGTTTCAATCTTCTATTGTCCAATTTCGATGAGCTTGTGCAAATTGTAGCCTCAGTTTCCTGTTCTTAGCTGAAAGGAGTGGCACCCGGTGTGGTCTTCTGCTGCTGTAGCCCATCTGCCTCAAAGTCTGACGTACTGTGCGTTCAGAGATGCTCTTCTGCCCACCTTGGTTGTAATGGGTGGTTAATTGAGTCACTGTTGCCCTTCTATCAGCTCGAACCAGTCTGGCCATTCTCCTCTGGCATCAACAAGGCATTTCCGCCAACAGAACTGCCGCTCACTGGATGTTTTTTCTTTTTCGGACCATTCTCTGTAAACCCTAGAGATGGTTGTGCGTGAAAATCCCAGTAGATCAGCAGTTTCTGAAATACTCAGACCAGCCCTTCTGGCACCAACAATCATGCCACGTTCAAAGTCACTCAAATCACCTTTCTTCCCCATACTGATGCTCGGTTTGAACTGCAGGAGATTGTCTTGACCATGTCTACATGCCTAAATGCACTGAGTTGCCGCCATGTGATTGGCTGCTTAGAAATTAAGTGTTAACGAGCAGTTGGACAGGTGTACCTAATAAAGTGGCCGGTGAGTGTATATCAAGGCCGGTTCCAGATTTTCTAAATAAAATAACTAATAATAACATCAATTATAACCTTTGATCTTCACATGCAGACACACATCACTGCATGTGAATTAAAAGCATCAGTGATCAGAGCACCACTGGATCCCATCATCTCAGAGCAAAAACAATGTTATTTATGATGGGGACATCTCACTGTGAGGATGTTTGTAGAACCATGGCTTTTAGGTCTTTGATTATTAGAGATTTGGATCCATTGCTCTAAAAGCAAATGCTTTTATGAAGTTGTTTCACTAAGAACATTAAATGGTGGTTCTTTAAAAATAAAAACAAATTCCCTTTATCAGATAGTTATAGAAAATCTGCAGCCTTTGTTTTAAGGTTATGCTGTGTTTAGCTGGGCTGGAGTCAAACAGGACTATTTGGGATCAGGAAGGTCGCAGAATTTGATATAGGTTAATAATGTTTAAAATAATAAATGAACTGGTCCTGCAGTACCAGAGGTGACCACTAGAGTATGCTATCAGCCCATGTTTTCCATTAAAAGCTGTTCTGTGATTGTCCTTTTTGCCTTTAGCTTGATTTCCTCTGCTTAGCTTCACTCCACTTGATAGTGGATGTTTTTACATCTGTTTATTAGTCATTCGGATGTTTTTGCCCTCAATATATTTACATATACAGTAAATACACTCTAGTTTTATTAAACCATTATAAAATTGAATATGAGTATAATGGAAAATCCCTGTTTTGTCTCAAAATAGGAAAATTGTGGTGTTTACAGCAGCAAAAGGGTATAGTAGAAGTGGTCACACAATGTGCACCTTAAAAAAAGAGTATATAAATAACAGACAGGAAAATAAAACACATAGAGTACTGTACTGTATAGTGTTTTTAAAATAGAAATAATCTGCATCTGGATTATAGTTCTACTCCACTTCCTGAAGTGTTAGCTGTAAAGCTAAAATAAACAAAATCTCTGGGGTTGAAAAAAGCTCCATATAAGGAGCAAGTTCTTTTGCTCAGTTGAATCAAAAAAGAACGGAAAAGACAAGGAGAAAATGTTATTTTAAATTAATTCATACATTGTTTTCGATTTAACAGTAAGTTTTTGACACCTGTGGTTCAATTCAAGAATTAATTAATGGAAAATGCATAAAAACTGACCTCCAGGCGGCTTTTGTGGTTGTGTTTAAGAGCAGTAAAGAAAAACTTCACTTCCTGAGCAAATTCTAACTAAATAACTTATATTTTTTTGAGAAAACTGCAGGTGTTCTTAAGCTTAACAGCTTAAATGAGAATCAGTAAGAGGTTTGTTGCCGGTCCATAGATGACGGCTTTGTCTTTCCTTCATCAGTAGTGAGGCGTTTTGGAGGAAAACTAACCAAACATTCCACTTTATCCTCCTCCTGCTGAGCAGCACACTGACACCTTCATGAAGGCTGATAGAAGAGAGGAGCACAAACTGTCCCAAAGCTTTTATTGTTTTTCATACCCACTCTTCTCCTAAAGGAGAATCCAAACTTTGTTGTTGTATTTATAAAGTTCAGATTATATCAGATGATTTTCAGTCTTAAAAATTAGCTCTGAAGGATGAAAATACTTAATGATTATCAGGAATACTAAGTGCAGTTATGTCACAGCATCAAGAAAAAAACTACAACTTTAGATAATCAGAAAAGCAAGATGGAAGCTTTGAATCCCATTTTTTTCCACTTGTAACTTTGTTTTTTTTTGTTTAATAAATAATGACGCTGCTAATTCTATTGTGTGGGTTATGGATAAAAATGTAATGGTAAATTTTAGATGAAGTCTATAATGAATGAGGAGGAAAATCCTGCTAAACCACAGTAACCATCTGGGAACACCGGACCTTGACTGCCACCTGTCTGCTGACACATGGAGCTCTGATCCACACAACCAGCATCTCTTATCAGCTGTTTACAGTCACTCCTCAGCCCAGCCTCGTTGTATAATAGTACACTGTGTGACTGTGTTAGAACATCGTTATAATCTGCTGCTGACTGTTTTCCAGCTCAGCTTTTTTTTTATTTTTATTAAAACAGCAGTCATTTTATTATCCCTTTGATTAGTTTTTAAATCCATTATAACTTTGAATAATTAAGCCTGAAGGACATTTTTAGATCTGACTTTTAAACATTAAGTCTTTATGTTATTTTGCCTGTAAACGTATTTCAGGGTGGAGTAACTAACAGTTGACAAGGATCTCATTTTTTTTTCAACCTTATTTTTGGACTTTGCAGTTTGAAAAAGCAGAAAATTATTCATTCTAGGTTGAAATAATAAAATGCACAGTAGAGGTGTAACAGTACATACATCAGGAATGATTAAATGATCACCGATCTAATTACATCCATGCAAAATGAGAAAATGGGTCCAGGTTGTCATCTTTCTATTTTAAAACTCACAAGGCGTCAGTTTGTTTTAAAGAGAAAAATGCTGTTTTTGATTTAAATGTTTAAAAGCTTAGAAATAAAATGGCTAAATCATATGTTTTTGTTTTGTTTAGTATATTTAACTGATATCAATGTAGATCAGGGGTCACCAACGCGGTGCCCGCGGGCACCAAGGGGCCCTCAAGGACCACATGGGGTGCCCTCTTCGTCTTCTGAAAACAGAAGAACCCACTCAGTGGGTTAAGTTTAATTTTTTTTTTATTCAGTTGCTCTTCTTTTTAATCATTTATGTATTATTTCATCATGAAATCATCAGAAATGAATAAAAGAATAAAATAAGAATAAAAATTCGTTTTTATGGATGAGATTTACTGTAGATGAACACTGATCCCTCCAGTTCATAGGTCAGTATTGGTAGCCCTTCCTATGACTTGGTAGCCATGAAGTAGCCCTCAGCCTTAAAAAGGTTGGTGACCCCTGATGTAGATAATAGGGCTGGGCAGTACAGCTTAAAAATATCATCTCATGTTTTATTCCTACCAAATCGAATTGATTGTTTCTTTATTCATATTAAAAATGACAATTCTCATATATTGCTATAAAAAACGTATCATCCCTCTGGGAGGTGACCTTAATTTAAAGAGCTGTGATGCATGATTGTAAAATTATTATGTTTCACAAACAATAAAGAAAATATAGCACGGTTATTAGGAGACGTCTAAGAACAAAAAGTCATGAACGAATGTCACCCTGTGCCATGGAAACCCTAAATCAAATCTTCATAAAAAAAAAGATCTATATTTAATCACCTAGCCTTTGTACATGAATTTTATAGATCGGCTGCAGGTGTTTACTGAATATTAAACTGTATTATGGTGATGATACCATGCTGCATTGATGAATCATAGTTGTAAATTGAATTGAAAGCGTTTTTTCACAGACTCTGGGATGTCTGTGAGCATCGTGCTGACGTTGATGATTTCCACTCCCACTCTAGTGGGTGTGGACCTGCTGAAAAGCTCCTGCTTTTGGCAACTTTCCCCTTTGTGTAAATGAGGCCTGTTTAGGCCCGGTGTGTCATCGGGCTAAATGGCTCCTCTGGTTCTGTTGCCTGATTTCTCTCCCATCAGCCACCTGCTCTAATCCGCTGCGTTCTGTGTCGCCCTCAGGTGTGTCTGACAGGATGCTCCAGAGACCTGATGGTGCGCATCGACCAACTCTGCTCTCAGCACAACATCAAGGTCTTCTGTGGTGACGTCTACGGTTACTATGGTTACATGTTCTGTAACCTTGGACGGGAGCACAACTATGTGGAGTGAGTGTGTGTGTGTGTGGGGTGGTCCTTTGACCTGAGCTCACCTCGGTTGCTATAATTTTGAGGGGCTCTCTGGGTTAAAAATGAGTTCAGATCCCTGCATTAACCCTGCACTCTGGATAATCTCACCTTTATTTACTGAGTTGCTCGGATGAGCTTGGAAAATGTCACTAAAATCAAACCCCGTTGAATCTCAGGTGTACGGAAGAGGATTAGGGCCACTGAAAAAATTATAAAAGTTAAAGAGATTTTTAAATTTTATTTCAGTATAAAATGAAAAAAGGTTAGAATTCTGACTTTTTTCCTCAGAATTCTGATGGAATTCTGACAGCTAACAAACATTTTAGCTCAGAACGGGTTATATTTAGGGCTGGGCAATGACTTGCTTTTGCAATATAAACAAAATGTAACCCTAATCTAACCCAAATTACATTTAACAAGAGTAGGACGCTAAATGTCTCCCTCCAGCCCTTTAGGTGGCATTACTGCGCTTAAACTGTTTGATGACACACAGAAGGGAAGAGAGAGAGTGTCACCTAGTACAGAGACCCAGGCATGCAAATAGAAGTAAGTACTTTTAGTGCAAAGGTTACAGTAAAGTCCTGCAATAATGAACTCTGGACAGTCAAGGTTTTAAGATTAAGAAAGAGCTGAAACCCTGTATTGAAACCCACTATTTCCTGAACTTAAGGCAGCTGTTTTGTTTCCTGTCTTTGGCTGCGTCCAAAAATGTCCGCCCTAATCACTATTTTAAATGAGTGTCTGAACGTCTGGTGGATGAAAAAGTAGTGGACTCAAAATTTCCCACATTGCACCTTGAAAAGTAATGATCATCCATGGTCACTGGACGAGCAGATATAATTGTTGTCACAGCGATAAATAAAGATGGCACAGGCGACATGGTGGGGGGAGTCGGAGTCACGTGACCAACGGGGAGCAAAAAGCAGTGATCATCTGTCCAAACAGTCAGTTAACTGAGTTCACTATAAAGTAGAGGTGGGCGATACCGGGATTTTTTAATCGATCCGATACCAAGTAAATACTGGGTCAGTATCGCCGATATCGATACCGATACCGATACTTTTTACATTTAAGCTGCACTTGCCTGTTGCTTTTTTTCTATAAAGTTCTCAATCGTGGAATAAATAAGAGATTATCTAATGTTAGCTTATTTTAGCTAACAATTTTTAATGGGATAAATGTACTGGGTTTTTTCAAGGTCTTAACTACACTTTCTGAGTAATATATGATGTATAATGAAGTGCTGCAGACGATGACCACTGTTATCTACCTGGATATTCTCTGGAGGACTGAAACGCTTGGGTCAAAGATGTCTGTCTGAGGCTGGAGGCGGGTCTTTGGTCTCTCTCTCCATCCAAGTCTGAGTGAGCACTCACCCAGCAACCGGCAGCGCGGTTGTCTGTGTGACGTAGTGCTGAGTGGGCAGGCCAAGCTAAGCCTGCGCGCTGATTGGCTGGCGCCGCTGAGCCATGTGACTGTAGGAGAGGGGAGGGGGAGCAAAGTGCTGTTACACATATGGGGAAACTGGTGACTCCGCAGCAGTCAGCGCGCGCGAGAGAGGATAAAAAGTATCGATCTTGTTAAACGAATATTGTTCAATATAAATACCAGCGTTGGTATCGATAGTATCGATCCTGGGATCGATCCGCCCACCTCTACTATAAAGTCCACTATATATTCCCCATTCTATATAGAGATTGAGGGATTTAGAGGTTAGGGCGGACGTTTGGACACAGCTTTTTACTACTGGATGAACTGATGAATCCAGGTGTGCCTGATCTCAGTAACGATGGACTGAAACACCTGGATTAATCGGTTCATCCAGGAATGAAAGACGGGAAACAAGAGCGTTGCCTTAAGTTCAGGAAGTTGTGGAGTTTTTCAAAGAGCCCATTTAGATTTTTTTTTTTTTTTTAAACTTGGAGCCTTTGTTTAATCGGCTTACAGTATATGAGTGTTTACTGTAGGTCTCATATTCTATCTGCATCCTGGCTGGTTCTAAACTTAAAAACCTTGGTGGAATTTCGCTTTTATTTTAAAAGATTGGGGTTGTTTAAATAAAAAAGAATCTGGTTTTATTTCCCCCAAGATTGGTTTTTCAGTCGGTGCGTCTAAACCCGCGGTTCTCAAAGTGTGTGGCGCGACCCACTGGTGGGGAATTGAGACGTGACAGGTGGGGCGCGCCAAGTTCCGGTGTGTGTGTGTGTGTGTGTGTGTGTGTGTGTGTGTGTGTGTGTGTGTGTGTGTGTGTGTGTGTGTGTTGTGTGAAATGTAGAACGTGTGAGAGCAAACTGTCCTTATAGCTGTATGTTGCCGCTTTTTAGACCAATCAAACCCACAAAGTAATCATTACTAGCCTACATGCAGTCTAATTAAAAGAACATTAGATATGAGAAACATTTCACCTGGAACTGAAGTGCCAAAATAATGACTGACGTGACGTCGGCATATTATTTGTAATAATGTTGTGTGTTGCCAACTCAGTGACTTTGTCGCTATATTTCAGACCCCTCCAGCGACTCTTTTTCAAAAAAGCGACTAGCGACAAATCTAGCGACTTTTGGAGACTCTTACGTGAAAGCACGTATCATTCCTTTTCTTGTCCTCCAGCGGCAGGTGCTGCTGTGGGGCGCCTCCCCCATCCCCACCCCGTTCTCCCCCGCTATCGCAGGAGTCCCTCTCAGCGCTGCAGTCAGAGACACAGCATGTTTACCCTCAGCGTCCAGACTGCAAATAAAGCGCACATGCGCCGGGATTGACAGCGCAGGTTGATCATAAATAACTGAATTTGAAATATTTTATCTTAAATAAATAACGGCGTTTGATTCACACAGCAGCATGTTAATGTTGTACCGTGATTTGTAGGCTCCTTGGTGGACCACAAGGGAAAAAAAGAAAACGTTTAAAAAAGTTTAAAAAAAATTGTAACTCCGCCATAGTGTCTCTTTATGGTTCATTTTGCCGGTCACAAACCGGGTAAAGGAGGAGGGTTAGTATTGTAATAAATTAAACATTAATAAAACAATAATAATAATAATAAACATTAATGGACAGAAAAAAGTAGCTCTATATTATTTGGGTGTTTTTACTCACTTTTTGTCTCTCTCTAACAACGTTATTTCTCCCACTCCCATCTCAGCTGAACATTGAGCATGACTTGAGAGTGGCAGTATCAAGCCTGCAACCCCGTTTTGAGAAACTGTGCAATGCAAAACAGGCTCATTGCAGCCACTAATGCAGGGATAAATAGACCTGTCTTGCCAGATGGATTTCATTTCTTTTCTTTTATTAACAGATTGCAGAGTGGCACTGAAATTTTTTCTATCTTTGAGCTTGATACAAATTTTGACACAGCTGCATTTTTATTTTCTTTATTTTTGAGCTTGCTGTTATTTGATGTAGATAGTTTGTATTTAGATACTACTTGTTACTTCAATAAAATTGGAACATTTTAAGATTGTTGCATATTTCATTAGTATTGTGTTGGGGCGATGGGGACAGGCGGGGCTTGAAAATTCCCCCTTGTCCAAAGTGGGGAATGACAGAAAAAGTTTGAGAACCACTGCTCTAAACATAGAACCACTTTGGCCAAACTGATTCATATGGTCTCCGGCAAACGCAGGTTTGACTTAAGAGCTCATAATTAAAGGCACAAAAAGACACTTTTCCTGAATTAGCCTTTTCTCTAATACAGTATTTAATAATTATATTAATAATAATATAGTTGATATTAATATGAAAGATTTTCTATGTACATTTTTAATGATAGGATGTTAAATCTGTTTATGTTAACCGAATTACCAATGTTTATATTTTATTGTGGCGCGATACCCTTTAGCTTATTTGTTAAATTTTCATTAGATTTATTATTTTTGCTTTTTGATGATAGTCCGTGTTTTAAGTGATGTTGATGAAATGCCAACAGAGTATCTGAAACGATCGCAGATCTTATTGTAATTTCTACGTCTTTGTGGTTTTTCTGCATCTTTATTTCAATAGCTCAGCATGTTTGCTACTTGTTGATTTCCTTTCTCAGTTTTGTTTTGTTTCTTTGTTCTTTAGGGAGAAACCCAAAGTGGTAAAACCCTCTTCTGATTCCAGCGATGGTCCAGAGGCAAAGAAGGCCAAAATCGACCCTACTGAGACCACCATGGTGAAAAAGGTAGGATCCCTTCACCTTGTTTCTCTGTCTGTTTAACTCTGACTGTGCTTCAACTTTGGTTTGTTTTTTTTCCCCAATCTGCATTATTTTTTCTTCTGAATCATGTTTTTACTGTTTTAAAATATAAAACTGTAAATACCTTTAATGCTTTTTAATGTAAAAAATGAGTTTTCTTTCTTTCTTTAAGACAAAAAAACCTTAATTGGATTTGTTTGACAATAAACATCCAGACACTTATCTTTTCTAATTAAATGTTTCCCCTTTACTAGAATGAAAAATATATTTATTTATGACTTATTCCGAATAAAGAATAAAATCAGTGGTTCAGAGGTAGATATGTGAGCAGAGGACAGTTTCATGTCACAATAAGGGTAAACTCAGCCCTTTTTTTAACCTAAAACCTGTCGATCTTTAAAGATGAGAGCATTCACCTCAACTGTTTTACTTCTTAAACAACTCTTTGATGAAATGTTGAATATCTTTGAGTTATTTTCGCTAAATTAAAAGCATACTTGGGCAGATAAGTAGTTCAGATTCAGATTGTTATTCTATGCTCATGTTGGAGGATCCATATTAACAAAGATATTTTCTGACCTATTCTAAGTGCATCCAGTGACACTGCTGCACTTTTTTTCCTGTTCAATTTTGTTACAGCTTTTTATTTTCATTATTATTGTTTTTAACTACTCAAAAAACCCAATCATGACTATTGTGGAGAGAAAAAAAACCTATTTAATAGTTGTCAGATGCTCCAAATGGCCTTATAATAAGGAATCTGCTAATAAGGAGTCTTTCCATCTATCAGACGGCCAGTTTCTGCACCCTGAAGGAGGCGCTGGAGGTGGAATGGAGCAGTGAGAAAGCCAAAGCCAGCCTGAAACGAACACCAGTGGACTACTTCCTGCTTCACGGTATGCATGAGAAGACATTACTTCTATTTATGACAATTTAACCCAGAAACCTGATGTGTTCTTCCAACACAATATGAATGGGATCCACATGTAAAAGCTCCGGCAAGCTTCAGATTTGATCTGCGGTCAGGGGTCTGAACTGGAATATATCATGAGTTAGATTAATGAATTTCATATTTAAAAGAAATCATTCAGTGTCTGAGGCTTTTTTTGGTTCGTCTTGTTAAAGTTAGGCTCTGTGGTTACACCTTAAAGCTTTCTCTCTCCGCTTCCTTTTTCCTGAAAAGAGATCACTCAGGACAAACTCCTTCAAGTTGTAGGGAAATCATATTTAAATGTCAAATTATTCTGGCATAAACATTTATATAAATGTCCTCTTTAACAGATGATATTGTCCCAAAATTTAAAAAAATTTCTATAAAAAAAAAAAAATCCTGTCTGAAAATCTGGGGGTCTTTTTTCGTCATCTTATGCAGGCCAATTAGTTATGTCAGCTTGTGCACCTAAATTCAGCTAATCATATATCAGCGGTCATCTGTCAATCAAATTTTTTCGGTCACAGCATCCTGATTCATAGGTCGCAGCTAATATACGCAACGGTTGAAACAAGAAATAAGAATCATTTCCTTTCCCATTGCTTTCCATCCCAGTGTTCACAGGGATGGAAGTCTGCGTCTTCAGCAGGCGTAGAGCTAACGGAACTGGCAGCGTTGCGAGGCAAGGGCTCAAACATGTACGGCTGTAAGCCTTCTACACCAAACCAAGCTTCTGCCGCCCTGGCGTCCTCTTCCACAACAACTTCGCCCGCTTTCCTCCTCTAAATAAAAAATGTATTACGGAGGAGACTCATCCATGACCTCCGTTACCTCCTCCTGCATGTTTCTGCTGTCCATAGCGTTCCTTGCTAAATGCTACTTGGTCCCAAAGTCATTTCCCATTGGGAACCAACTAACGCCAAGTTGCTAACTGGTTAGCAAGATGCTTCCGACAAACTGTCCACAACAAAACTTGCTTTAGAACCTTCAGCCACAACAATCCCGCCCCCTTGATAATCGTCCAATCACATTCACTCGCTAAAGTCGGGCACCACTAGGGAGAATTCGGAAATGCAATGGTTGGAACGGCTGATTCCCTACAACTTTAAGTAACACCACAGTATCTGTATTAAATAACCATGAGACATTATAACAGATTTTAACGGAAATTATAATTTCTGTTAAAATAATTATAATCTTCCTCAGATCAGAGAAGTTGCTTAGGGATACAGAAGGCAGCTGATACCAACCGGGCTCACCTCTCAGGAAGTGGCCCTGATCAACAGTTAAAGAAGCATTTTATAAAAAATAAAAAAACTATTACATTTTGTTCTTAGCTAAAGGACACCACTCTCTTTCTACTCCCAAATATTTACTACGTACAGAATGAAGAAGATTATAACTGTTTATCCGGACAGAGGAACTGTCGTTAATTAGATAAACTACTGCGGAAAAGATCAGTTTTGACACGCAACAGGAAGCTAATATTAAGGCGTAATAAGCTTCATAAATCATCAATGATAATTATCTGCCTTTTAGCCAAAATGTCACAAAGGCTCATGAGAGGGTCTAAAGAAAGTCCTGGAAACTGAAACTGAAAATGTGGCTGATTCTCCAGCAACAATGAAACCTGAACCAAGATGCTCAAATCTTAGTTCCACTCTAACTGCAGATAACCACGCGTGGAAAATCATATCCAGAAAGTTTACTGATTGTCATCCAAGCATGAAGAGGAAAAGATCGCCTTTCATCCGAGTTCGAAGCAGTTTAGCGTTTTGTAATTTTGAATCGGTATTCCTCAGGGGAAAGGCTGATGTTCTAATAAAGAAGCACATGTGGGTCATTTCTGTGGCTTTTTGACCAAGTTGTGCGTTTCACCTTCCTGTTTTTCTCGTTTCTGTCCCTCCTGTCACCTGGCACTTCCGACGTCCCCATGAACCACTCAGTAGTTTCCATCACAGGCTGTCCATGGCCAGTCATGTGCACTGAGCGTAGAGCTGAAAGCAGCCCGACACCCACACTGCATGACAACAGCAGGAAATAACCTGAAGAAGCTTCAGCTTTGGGAAGATTTCATTTCTTTTCACATCTGCAAGGAATAAAAAATAAATAAAATTCCCAGGCGAATTTATGAGAAATGCTAATAATAATTAAAGAAACTAATGAGAAAACCATTTCTCCATATTTTGAGGCTTTATAAATGAATGTGCTGTTCTCTTTTTCCTATTGCAATTGATAAGGACTCAGAAATATTCAAACCCCTCTAATATTTGATCAAATCATTGCGTTGCATCCATTATTTAGCATTCTGGTCTAAATGTCTTAGGTAATTTTACCACTCTGCTTATTAAAGGAAGGAATTGGTTGGTTTTGTGGAACGGACCCGACTTTGAAGCATATTCCACAACATATCAGTAGGATTGATGTTGGGTTTTATGGACGCCATTTGTCAGGTGTTAATAGTCGCCCTTTTGTTGCCTTTAAATTACACACCCTAAACATGATCGAAATTGACGCCCAAATGGGTCAGAGTGTCATCGTTTGGCTCAGAGTGTCCTTCTGGAGGCAAAACGGATCCACAGCGTAGTGGATATATGTAAATATATATATATATATATATATATATATATATGAATTAGTTTTGAGGAGTTATAGCTGTTTTTATTTCCTTTTATATATGTTTTTTTCCATTGTAGAATGCTTACTGTTGTGTTTTTTTTAGGTAGACAATTTTAAGATCTGTCCAGGGACAACAGATGAAAATAGCTTTTTGGCTACTATTGGTGCATTTGCAGGAATGCGTTTTAATGTACACTGTCCCTGTCAAATAAATCAATAAATTAAATTGAAGTGCTGCCATCACCGTGATCGTTAGTTGTTTAAATCATGACTATTTTAGTTGTCCAGGAATATCAGACTCTTAAAAGACACCATTTGCTAAAAAAAAAAAACAAAAAAAAAAAAAAAAAAAACAATCAAATAAGCTAAGGCTATACAAATTTTCAAACACTTTTCATTTAAAATGAAAAAACATTTGTCTGTAGTTATGCTCTAAGGACTTAATGGGTCAATTGAGGAAAAAATTGTCAACTAATTAAACAATTAACTAAGTAGTTGCAATGCTATATGCTGCAGTTTTAGGATAAAATCCAGGAATTAAAGTATTCCAGCCCGATTGCCCATGGGTAAAAAAAAAAAAAAATCACTCGAAAATAAATTGATGGTAAATAAATTTAAAAAAGACAATTGAAATCCCTCTTACATTTGTCAGCCAATGGTAGCAAAGGAGCGCTCTGAAACCAACAATATTAGCCAATCAGAAGAAGAAGGGGGCGGGTCTTAGGAAAGCGTGTTCCTCCTCCTCTTGTTTTTTGCTCAAGTCGCCAGATAGATTGTAGTACAGTTCTGAAGTTCTACACGGAAAGTCACCTTGCACCGTTTACGGCTCCATTCAACTAAGAGAGATGTTTTAAAAGTAACAAAATAAATAAATGAAACTTTTTGTTTGGAGAGAACGGAATCGCATGGAGCGTGCACAATGCAGTTCATGAACTCCTGGGAGGATATCACGACCATAGAGAAAGGTCTCAAGAATAAATGGCGCTGGGCATGGCTGGAGGAGACAGGGCGGGATGGCGAGCCATTTAGCAGCTGGTGCAGGAAGTTAGGGAACCAGGCGATTGCTTCTGCATGCTGTGCTCCAGGAAGCTTATTTACACATCCAGCAGCAAAAAGGTGAAACGCAAACATGATTTAGACCCTGGTCATCAAGCTGCTGTTCGTGCGGTCGCGCACACTAAAAGATTGGCGGAAGCTACGACAACAGCTAATGTACCAGCCAGTTAAAAATAAGGGTTTGTGCTTTCCTCGACGAACACAACCTCTCATTTTACACTAGATATAGATGCACTTTTGTCATCTTCTGGCCGTTTTTGGTATTGGATTTTCAAAAGTCTAATTTAATCTTCAATCATTCATGCAATCTCTGATCCCATGCCCCCAAACCCCCCTGGCATGGCTTGAATACACGCACACATGCTCGCATATGGGTTTCTTGCCTGTGTCGAAAAAGTTCAGGCTCAGTATTTATTTTTCTTCTTTAATCCCTGAAAATGTCTAACCATATCTTGAATCTTTTGAGCAAACCTTCTCCTGGTTGACATCTGTGGTGGTCATGTGGTTGAAGATGCTGGTGTTTCACCAGTTCTTAGGTCAAGGCAGGGCAGAGATCTTAGAGGTACATGCTAGACACTCAAGTTTAGAGTTGGTATAGTGGGATTGGTACGCTAATGCAGAAAAGGGGGCGTGATAGAAATGCAGTAATATCACTATCCCCTAATTTCGGTCATTTCCTAACACATCGATCCAATAAGCAGAACTATTGAAAACTGCTGTTTATCCATCTTGTTGTTAGGGTTGGTCAGTGGGAAATGTTTGGTTATATAATGATGAAACGGTTCAGGATTGGAGGGGATGTTCAACTGAAGCAGAGGACTAATGTGAGCAGTGTGGTCGTGTTTTCACTCTGCCTGACGGGTGGAGAAATATTCATATTTATATAAAGTAGAATTTAATGTAGGATTTTCTTATTGGTCCCAATTTTCATGCGATCACTAAAGCAGATATTTGGCCAAAGTGAAAATTATTCATGTGGATTAATCAAAGTTAGCCTTAAAATTCTCTTTCCTTTGTCAGGTATGGTGGTGGTATCGTTATGATGTGGGGTTGCTCTGATGCAGCAGAGGTTACTCAAAATGAAAGAATAATTTAAAAAAACTCTGAATTGCCCCTAAACATCTAATGGTGTTATTTCTATGATTCCCGCCAAGAAAGAAATCACTTCCGAACACTGAATTTGATTGTAAGTCCCCCCCTTCCATGAATATTCAGATTTTTAGTCCTTTGATGATGTCAGTACTTATTATTAAGATGGATATCTTACAGACATTTGTTTTGTGGTTTACT